GAATAGTTAGTATGACCGTAGCGTGGGTAAATCCAATTCAACGGAAATTTCCATTCTGCATAGAGTATCTCCAGTTGTGACATATTTGTATAAAACTTTCATTTTGGACTAGATCATTCATCCTGCAACAACTCCTAGGCATGTAACTGCACAGCAGCTTCTCTTCTCCAAGAGGTAAGGAGGTTTCTCTGAGCAAATAATCTGCAACATATCATGAAATACCAGGCTGGAAAGAAAAACAGTGGCATGTTTTCTGACCAAAACGCTGATTACTTTAAGAATACTCAGGATCCATTTGAGGTGCTCTGAGTTCTCAAGGCAAAACTTAGCAGAGGCAGAAAGGGCAAGGAAGAGCTTTGGTGACCAGCTTTCCTGTTGAAAAGCAGCCGGCTGCAGACCATGCTCCATTCCTGAAGAGCCATGGGTCAGCACCCATGGGGTATGAGGTTCATGCCAGAGGTATGAACCAAGACCAGGATTCCCCCATGAGGACATGGATGTGGACTCTGGCGGCTAAGTCAGCTGTAGCAAGTGGTACTGGGACAAAAATCAGAGTTTTTTTCAGCTAGCAGAGAAAGACAGGAGATCCACCAGCTGGAATCCAAAGAAACCTCAGGCTAGAAATACTGTACAATACTTCATTGGATTCCTCCTCCTCAAATCTTTATGCAGGGATTTAGAACAGTTATAACGAAGCAACAAACCTGATGCAAAAGCCAGGGTAAATCCTCCAGTCTTGTTTATTCTGATATCAGACTTGATGTATCACAACAGATCCTACTCACCTGAACATCCACTGATGAAAGCATATTTTAGAAACTATTTCTTTCCATCTTTGCCATATCACTAAGATTTCCCTCTTCTTTGAAGCAAGTTTTCTTCTGGTCAACTCCTGATGACCTTTCTGTCCAGTTACCTGTACTAGTTCAGTGTTTTTGCATGATTTACCATTTTACATTTAGATACGTAGAATCAAGTTTTTAGATAGGCCAGCAGGCCACTGAAGCCATGACACTATTTTCAGCCTTATTAAAAACATTCGCATGTGTAAAACTGCAAAATCAGGACTTCCGTGTCATCTCCAGGTTAATTCAATTGCATCTGAATTATTCCTTACAAATTATTACCATTCAGAGAAATTGCTAAGAAATAAAAGTTACTGTCACTGTCATCCACCCTTTGAAAGGTTCCTGTCAGTGTACTACATGCTGTCATTTATAATTACCACTTCTCCCTGCTGCTCTTTACCAAATAAGTTATGATATTGTTATTTTACCTAAGTACACGCTCAATTTAGTATGCAGTGCAAGGAAGGGCTATGCAGGTAATTAAAAAAAGGCCTAGTATTCTTCTCTCATAAATGTTAGCAAAAAAACGGCTCTTTGCCCATCTTGGGGGATGCTCACCTCTGTTCTTCTGTGAGTTCAACACACATGCCTTTTTTAGTATGTATATAATAGCACAAACCAAGACAACTCACTTTCAAACAGTGCATATGCCAAGCCCATTTAAATAGTCCTGCCTGCTGGCCAGAGCAACTGGTTGTTGTATTCAACCCAGGTAAGTACATTTCCTCCACAGCTTCAAAGAAAAACCATGGATCCCTCAAACTCCTTGTAATTTACTCTATGGCCAGGCTTATGTATCGAGAAAAAAGTTGAACGAAGTCAACGAATGCTCATCTCTAACCTTTTCTATCCAGCTCAGAAAGGCTTGAACTGGCAGCAAGGGTGCTCTTATCTAACATCAGGTATATTTAAAAAACCAGAAAGTTAAAACTAATTGAAAATGTAGCTCAATTTGCTATGAGAGCCTTTTTTGAATGGATTGCCATAGTTTGAAGGTTTCTTTTAAATCCACTGCAAGAAAATTATATGCAAAGAATACAAGTATTTCTCAATATTTATGTCTCATTAAACTTTATAAAAACAAAAGAAAATATTAATAAACTTTCAACAAAATAAACGATATTTTAAACCACTGGGGATGCTAAATAACAAGTTCTTCACTGTCACATCATGAACAAAGCACATAAGAGTGAGGATAATAATGAATAAACATCACAGATGTTCAAATGAAACAGTAAATCACTATTATCAAGCATTAAGAAACCCATGTTGTTATGACAGGCTTAACTCCAATCCAGGAATTTATACAAGAAAACATAGGCTGTATTATATAAGTATTTTCCTAAGAGATACTTTGAAATGGAAAAGAAAATATTAGTTGACATTTGCACCTGCTGAGACTTACATTGCAATGGAGCATCTATAATTTTTTTAGAACATCAGGTTACAAAACCAAACTAAAATTAAGTTAGCTTACAATATGCTGTTAGGGGTGCTGACCAGCACATACTATTTGAAGCAGTATAAATTAGTATAAATTAGAAGAAGTACTACAGTTATGCTGCACCGGTATGGTTAGGACGAAGGAAATAATATTAATTATATTGTCAGCTCTTCTGCTCTTCCTATGAATTATCTATTTATTTGAGTGCAACAAGAATAATGGCTTTGCGGAACATTTAGGACTGCAGTGACTGCTGAGTAGCTACACTTTTCCTGCACATACCTTATAGAAAGGCTCACAGCCCAACTTCTGCTGCAGAGGAGATGTCAGCTATTGACAGAAAGAGTCCTTCAAAACCCCGACTCAGGAAGCTACATGGAGTGCTTTGGTCTGTTTGTGGTGCACGTGTAGAACTGGGGGAAAACAACTGTTTTATGGGACACAGTCCAACTGCAGTGAATCCCTTTGGTAAAGAAAGTACAGTCTAATGTCATGCTACAGCCTTTGGGACAGTACGTTAAAAGCATAAACTCAGGGTGGGGCTCAACTCCTAATGTCCTTCCATTTACCTCAAGCTAAATGGCTTTAGCTCCATTTGCTACACCTGAAGTAACTTCACTCTCACTCAGCACAAAGCACTTTGTGTATAAATGCATACATACCAGAAGTGATGCTATCTGCAACCTTTTAAAAGTATGTGTTGAGAAGGTGGGTTGGCCCCTGCAAGATGTTTTTAGAAAAACAGCCAGAAGTGGTGCAGCCTGGTCTATTATTGAGAAAAGCATTACTTCTGTGTTTTAGTTTGAACTTCAAGGAAAAGCTCGGGCTAAACTACAGAAAGGCATCCAAAGAAGCAGAAAAACAGTATTTCCATCCTACTTTATGGCAGGCTGCTAAAGGGCACTAGAGCTGCTGAGCTCTCTGCAAACACCCCTGAGTTGTAATGCACTGCATACCAGAAAATCAGGATCTGAAAAACATGTCCATTTGTGGTCTCTTAAGAAAAAAAAAGAAGAAAAAAAAAAAAAAAAAGAAAACCCTCTCAACCATCCTTTTCCCATGTAGCCTGTGAATGAAAGGCAAGGTTCCATTTCATCTGAGATGTTCTGGAACACAAAATAAAATAATGCATGTAAGTTACCTCTTCATCTCACTGAAGACTCCATATCAACTTATTTATAAAAGCTACTCTTCATGAGATGTATACATAATAATCTACACCTAGTCCTGTAATCACAACCACACTTTGACAAACAAAAAAAAATTATAACTTTTTTTTTAGCTAGTCTTCCTCCTTTGTAACTAAGTCTTTGAACTGATAAATTAGCATGCATATTCTTTTCTCTCAAACCACTTGATAATTTCCTTCATACCTGAGGTACAATATGTTCATTAAGAAACATTCTGAAGATGCACAGCTGCACTGGTATAATTTCCATCAATGCTTTTGAAAAATATTTCCATAATATGCCAAGGTTTTAAAAGACACAGAATAAGAAAAGTATAATCAGTGGCGTTTCTAACTAGGATAACAGCAGCCTTCTGAAGATGAGAGATGAGCTGAGATCAACACACTTCACACAGATTGATAAATCACCATTCACTATGGGGAAGGGGTCCAGAGTCTGACAAACTTACAAAAAAACGTTAATAGCTTTTTCTTTTCTTTTTGCCAGACTTTATACTACACATTTTGTTGTACCCTCTTAGAATGATAATTTGGTCTATCAACAAAAAGAAAGACACACTGGGCAACACTCAAACACCCTTTCAACACCGTCTTGTGATTTTTAGGAGTGTAACCTGTGGAATGATTCAGATTAGCTCTGAATTATTAATGGAGTTGGACGACCAGATTGCTTTCCGTTGTTACGGGTGTTAACGCAATTACACAGCGGTACCAAACTGTTGTTTCTCCAGAGCCCTTCAGACCAATTTTGCAACTCCCTCCCAAAAAAACGCACGTTTCCAACTTCTGGGACTCCAGCGGCCGGTTGCCCCGGGACCACCCCGGGCCCTGGCCCAGCCCCGCTCCCCAGGGCTGCGGAGGAGGATGTCCCGCTGCGGGGACAGCACGGTGACACAGTGCCAGCCCCACCAGCTGTGCCCCCAGCGTTACCACCGACGGCTGGACCAGCCTCTTCCCGAGCATCCTCCAGCGGCGCCGCTGCCTCCTCTCTCCCCCCAGCCGCCGCCGAGACACCGGGGCCGGCCAGGGAGGGCGGCGGGCGCTGCGGGGAGCTGCGGGAGGCCCCGCACCGCCGCCCCTCCTCGGCCCGCGGGGCTGCCCGTCCCACCGGCTGCCCCGGGCCGCCCCCCCCCGGCCCTGCCGTTCCCCTCCGGGGGGGCGGGAGTTGTTGGAGGGGGGGGACACAGGCTTTCCCCAGCACCGAGCTGAGCCCGGACTCACCAACTCGCTCAGCGAACAAGTGGGATGCGGCAGAAGTTTTACTTCGCCGGCACCAGCTTCCCCCGCAGCCGCCCGCCCGACCCGCCGCCGCAGCACCGGGACCTTTATTTTTTTTTATCTTTCTTTTTATCTTTTTTTTTTTTTTTTTTTTTTTAAGTTTCGCAGCGCGTAGCACGCCCCCTTTTCCCTTCCTTCCCCCCTTCCCCAAGCCCCGCCGGAGCTCAGCCCGGGGAACGATGCTCAGGGAGCCGGGAGGGCGAGGTACCGGTACCGGTGCGGGGGTCCCCGCCGTACTCACCCGCTCCCCAGCCGCACGGTGAGCAGCAGCAGCAGAAGCCGGGCCCCGCGGTGGCGGCGGCTCCAGCGGGGTGCGGGTCCCCCCCAGGCATCCATGGGCGTGAAGGCTCTGTCCCTTCCCCGAGTTTTCTCCGGAGAGGCTGGGGAATAGCGACCCTGCCAATCCCACCGTCCCCCCCCCTCCGGCACACGGCAGGCAGAGGGAGGGGAAGGGAAAGAAAGGGGAGGGGGAGGAAAGGGGGAGTAGGGGGGGGATATAAAACACCCAAACAGGTAGGAGCCCACTCTACAAGGACCGAGCAACTCGCCCAATAGGCTCATCAGGTTGCTCCATAAATTATCCTAAAAACTGCTGGGCGAATCAATCCCTAGCAGAGGTGGAGCCTCCTTTACTAGAAGGGAAACATGCTTGGGAGAAAGGGTGGCATTGATTTGCTATTTTCTCCGAAGAGGGAAATAAAATAGATCTTATCTATCTATAAATATGCATAATACATAAAATGTTAAATATATATTTAAAGCTACGTGTATATATATATAAATCTTTATTTTTTAAAGCTACTTATGGGGCGGCTTGCAATCTGAGAAGCAGCCCCTCGGCCCTGCCGAGAGGAGACCCACCGCCGGGAGGAGAAGAGCCAGGAGATGTGCGCGGAACACCCGCGGGGACTGCGCGGCAGCTCCGCGGGTTTTGGGGAGGACGGCACCAGCGTCGGGGCAGAGGGTCCCCTCCAGCCCCTCTTCCGTCCCCAGGGGAGAAGGGGCGCACCCCCCGCAACCGCCGTCCCTATAAGCAGCGCTCGGCGCGCAAGTGCAACCGCGGGAGTTCCGCGCACCCAAGAAATGAGGGTCGCGCAAGCCCGCAGGCTGCAGGTGGCTCTGCGCGGCCGCGGAGCGCCCCCGGGGGGGAAGGGGGAGGAACGCGCGCAATGCGCGGTGTTGCGCTATGAAATGAGCCGGGGGCTTGCTACAACATACTAAAAAGCTTTTTTTAAAAAAAAATTTTTTTTTTTTTTCCTTCTTCTTGTCTCCCCTCTGCTGCTTCCTCCTCCTGCCTCTCTCGGGAGACCTAGGGGGGAAAGTAGCCAAAAGACAAAAAAATAATACTCTAATATAACCCCCACCAAAAGCAATCCCGAGACAGGTAAAGCAACCGCGGGGGCGCGGCGCAGGTTTCGCACCTGCAGCTCTCTCCCCCCGGCGCGGGGGTGGGATGCGGGGGTGGGGGGGTTATGGCCCGGCGGGAATAGTGCTTAAATAAAGCGGTAGTAGTTTGCTCGGATTTGCTTTGGGGTCGGATAGCCCCTGGATCCCTCTCCAGCTCAGTTCCCTATGCGCCGGAGGTGTCCCCTCTTGCAGCTCGTTATGGGGCGCTCCCGGAGTAACCTGCGCTGCCTGATGCTCAGCGTGAGAAGCAAACCGGTTTGTTATCATCATCATCACCGTCGTCCTTTGAGTCAAACTGCAACTGCACAGAAATGTAAATAACCCCCCATTCAGCGGTTGTATGGAGGAAAGGCAGTGCTTTGTTTTGGGTTCTCCTGCTTCTTTACACGTCAGCATCTGGTTATTATTTTATATATACAGTTTACAGCTGCTTTAATGGTTAAAGCAACTCACCAGGCTTCAGAGAGCTGCAGAACGTTAAGTGAAAATTCAACGACTTGACAATTAAAAGCCAGTCCTGGGGGTACTGGCAGAAGGTAAAGGCACATATTATTATATGACCTGAGGTCTCCTCATTGGCGGATTAACACAGCAGGCAGCGTCCTAGTGTGATGGCAGAGGCATGAGCTCAGAGGAGAGAACATGCATTTATTACAGAGTAAGTGCAGAAGCAGCTCCCCTGCTGCAGCTGGTGGCACTGGCTCCAAGATGCAGGATTACTGTCCCCCTCAGCAAGAAAATAAGCACAGCCCGTTCCCCAAGTCCCCTTCTCTCTGGGAAGTCCTTTTGCCCTGAAAATGGCCATGGTCTTTAAGTTTATTATGGATTGATCTGTCAAAATTGACTGCAGTTCACAAAATATGCCGTGGACATTTCTTTATGCCTTTGCATTCTGTTGTTTATGGAGCCATTAAAACTCTTTACTAATCTATAAAACTTCATCCTGTTACTAAAATATATTACATAATTAATGTGACTACTGAGAAAGTTTGACATAAGAAGTTTAAGGGTACTTACAGGATTACGAGACATCTTCTTTCTACATGAGCAGTTTGGAGCATCTACTTAAAAACACTTAATTTCACCCCTGTGTAGGTCCAGCAGCTTCCTTGCACTGAAAGAGGTGGAGGATTACAGCTAAAAAAAAAAAAAAAACAGTGAGAAAATTCTATTTTTCATATGATTTCTGGGTTTAGAATGCTAAGGGACATAAAAATGCCATTAAAATTAATTTAAAATAAAATCAGTGCCAGTGAGATTTCTCAAATGACACAGGACTAAGGATGACATCAGGACAAGCTGGTTTCAGAAAGTCCCAAATCAGAATTTTCCTTGTACTTTAATGTAAATAATAGAAATCCATCCCTCTCAAAAGTAGAGAGGAAAATATTCCATGAGTAAATAAAATACTAGGTGAAAAATAGGTTTAAAATTTTTGAAAAGGAAACAGGAAACAAAAGTAATAAAAGTTCTTTAAGTACCAGAAGAAAACTTGAGGGAAAAAAAAATAATCTCAGGTTGCCTGTATTCCTAAGGAACAAAAGAAGCAATAAAGGAAAACTGCAAAATGGAAAAGAGGCTATTGAAGAAAAACTGGGGAAATTACCTAGATGACTGTCAAAAGAAGGAGATGCTGATACAGGATAATAAACTAAATGACAGTGAATTACCAAGGCCTGCTGATATTCATCAGCCACTTGGTCCTGGAACAGCTGACCTAATAATATTTAAATTCTCAGTTAAAACCACCTTCTCCTACTCAGAGTAGGAGGGCTGTCTTTTAAAAAAAAAAAAAAAGAAGGGAGGTGAAGAGAGGGGTTAACAGTGGAATTTCAAACCTGGTAGGCATCACTGCAGAAGCAGCAAATTGAGCAATGTTAATGTACAAGCAAAACTGCAGGATTCAGATCACTGTTATTACTGAAGAGGCACAAACCAGAATGGCTCCTGCAAAGGAAAACCACTGTCTCTAACTTCTTCAATCATATTTAATGAGCCCGTGAATAGAAGAACAGGGCTAAGTAATTCACTGTCCTTCAAAACCTTTTTAAGTCTATCAGTTATTTGTTGAAGGAGCTGCACAGTTATAGGGTGAGTGGGAAAGTAATGCCATCCTTCATCCTTGAGACTACTATCAGAGTGGTTAACTTTCCACATTTAAAAGATGAATCATGAGTTCTTATGAATCTGTTCTTGAGATTCTTTTATTGAACTGATTCCTCACTGAAATCATGGTTTTAAAGACAAGAAATAGGAAAATTTGGAGATGAAAGTTTCAGTTTGGTTATGTCTTCAGAAAAAAAAATAGAAAATATTGATTAATTCATCAGAGCATAGGAAATTATAAAATGGGAAGCAATGGCATGTTGGCAAACAGAAAAAGAAAAATAATTGAAGGGTTGAATTTGGTAAAGATTTTAAGTTCCTAAGTATAAAATCACATCTCAGCTCTCAGCTCTGCTGCTACCAAATAGTGGAAGATCCAGAAAACACATATATATTTAACTGTGAAATTTCTCCAGGACTGTAGAGCAGCACCCATACAAACACCCAGAACAGCACTAGTTTGAGTACCTCAGCACCTGAATTCTGCCCAAGTTCATCTGAAATCTTTCTCTACCCTCTAGGTCTGAGGAGTGCAATATAATAGGATAATGAAATGCAACGTAAAAGTCCCCTAAAACACAGCAAGGGTAGGTCATTCCTTTCCTAACTTCTTAAAAGTATTGGAATTGATTTGGATTCCATAAAAATACACCTAACCCACTGGTACTGTAAAAGGAGCAAAGGCAATTAGAATAAGCTTGTGATTTCCAGTCTGGAAGCCAACTTCAAGGTACCTACAATCTTTAAGGCATCTAAAATGACATGGGAAGGAATTTTTCTGCTTAAAGCTGAAGTCCAAACAGGAGGAATAGGAGGGAAAAATACCCCAAAACTAGCTAATATCACTATATTTTAAAGTGAGTTTTAAAGATGAGGATGGTGGATCTCCATGGGACAACTGAAAGACGCAGAAACGTCACTTCAGTGCAGCTTTCATATTGTGATTAAAACCACAAAATAATTACATTCAGTGAAACAGTCAACATCTTAATAGAAAATAAATTATAAATCTCTCACTTCCCATAGCTAAATACCATTTTAATTAAGATTTCATCTCCAATACATTGATTTAACTGCTCACTCACTTATGTTATTCATTAAAATGATTACTAACAGCACAACTTTAGCAGCACTTAAAAATTAAATGAGAGAAGTAATCTCAAGTAGAGAATGTCGTATGTAGGAAAGGAGAAGACTACACCCATCTGTGCCTCCAGGGGAAAGGGGAAGGGTTAGAGCATGTAAAATGATATTCCTTTACATTTAGCATGTCACCCCTTTTCTCCATTTAAGCTATGATGAAATGAAAAACAAATTGAAGTGTAGGCAGATCTGTGGTAACTGGGCTGAAATGCTTAGGTACAAAAAGATAACTTCAAAAGACAAGTATTGCCTTGGTCTATGACTATTGTCATTGGCTTTCACTAGACTTCCAAGTGTTTGCAACATGAGACAGAAAACAGCAAATAAATACATTTTGATCTTTCCTGCTTTGCAGGGCATAAATCCACAATCCCTCCCTCTTGTTCTCCCTACGAATGCAATTTTATTTTTGCCTCTTGCTTACCTTTCAGCCAATTTCCCAAAAAACGGAGGCCAGGAGCCTAGATTTCCCATCTGCCAAGACACATCTTCAAAGACAGCAGACTTTCCTAGGGAATGCGATGACCGACGAGAAGAAGGATATTTGTTAGTGTGAGGCATGTGTATGCTGCAGACAAGGCAAGGAGTCTTACAGGGGACTGGGGCACCAAGATGTACTCTAGTTCATTTAGGAAATTCAGTCCAGCTTGGACTACTGCAATGTCACAGGCAGGAGGTGAGCACTGGTTCAAACTCTTCTCCAGTCTATGCTCTATTTTCCTTGGCAAGGGAACGACATGTTCCAGTTCAA